AGATAACCACAGGCAAAACAGAAGGTCAGTCAAACCCCACAACTTATAGGGAAAAAATAGACTCAGATGTATCACATATTTAACTGTTGATGGCAAGCCTATAAAACATTTTGAAAATGGCATAAGAGAAAACCTTTGACCCTTGTGATGTGCTGAAGAATTTTTTTACATGACACTAAAATCATTATTTCTAAGAGAAAGAACTGATAATTTGGTTTCTAAAAATCTGTAAATTTCTCTGCAAGATACACGATACACTGTGAAGAAGATGAAACACAAATTACAAACTGGAAGAAAATATTTGCAAACATTACATCTAACAAATCCTTGTATAAAAATTATTGAATTGGCCAAGAAGTTTGCTTGGGTTTTTTCCAAACTTCTTGGCCAATCCAGTATATAATAACTCATAAAACTCTAAGTAAAACAGATCACAAAATACAATTTGAAAACAGGCAAAAAGCAGGAAGAGATGTTTCACCAAAGGGGACATAATTACTTAGAAAATGGTCACATAAGAAGTTGTTCATCACTGCTAGTCATTCAGTTCAGTTCAGTTGCTCAGTCATGTCTGACTCTTTGCAACCTCATGGACTGCAGCAAGCCAGGCTTCCCTATCCATCATCAACTCCCAGAGCTTGCTCAAACTCGTCCCCATTGAATCAGTGATACCACCGAACCATCCCAGCCCCTTCTCCTCCTGCCTTCAATCTTTCCCAGCATCAGTCTTTTCCCATGAGTCAATTCTTTGTACCAGGTGGCCAAAGTATTGAAGTTCAACTTCAGCATTAGTCTTTCCAATGAATATTCAGGGTTGATTTCTTTTGTGATTGACTTATTTGATCTCCTTGAAGTCCAAGTGACTCTCAAGAGTCTTCTCCAACATCACAGTTAGAAAGCATCAATTCGTCAGCGTCCAGCTTTATAGGCCAACTCTCACATCCATACATGACTAGTGGAAAGACCATAGCTTTGACCAGACAGACCTTTGTCAGCAAAGTAATGTCTCTGCTTTTTAATATGCTGTCTAGGTTGGTCATAGCATTTCTTCCAAGGAGCAAGTGTCTTTTAATTTCATGGCTGCAGTCACCATGTGCAGTGATTTTGGAAACCTACCCCCCTCCAAAAAAAAATCAATGCTAGTCATTAGGGAATAAAAATTAAAACTATGCTGCTGCTGCTGCTAAGTCACCTCAGTAGTGTCCGACTCCATGCGACCGCATAGATAGCAGCTCACCAGTCTCTCCCATCCCTGGGATTCTCCAGGCAAGAATACTATGATAAGAACTCCTGAAAAGAAGGGTAGTGACCATTCCAAATGCTGGGGAGGCTGTAGGGATACTGAGTTTCTGGTATATTGATGGAGGGAATGCAAAATGTCACAGCTACTCTGCACAGTGATTTGGCGTTTTCTTTAAAACTAAATGAACATTTTCCATACGACTGAGCAACTGCCCTCCTAGGCATTTATTCCAGAGAAATAAACTCTCATGTCTACACAGTGAATAAATAACGGACCAGGAAATATTAAATTAAATGAAATAGAGACAGTTATGACTCGTCTGTCCCAGGGAAGTATCAGGTTAAGCCTTAGGAATGCTGGATTGTAAGACACATTCCTCACACTTACACATTCTTGATCTAGTGGAGAAGGCACAGTGGTGAATAATGACCACACGGGGTGGATGCCAGTGTTACAGCAGACATGAAGTAAGGGCACATATATCATATAATATGTGGGAGAAATCTCTGTCCCTGACTTGGGGTTCCTCTTACCCCATTATAATTTTAAAAATTAATATAAATTAATTGTCCAAGGAATTTGATAAATGACACAAACTTGGATTATTTGAATTTCTTAAATGTGGACAGGATAGTTTACATATATAAGTAATTACCTTTACTAACTGGTCTTCTAATAATAACAACTGCTATTTTTTAATACTTTCTCTATGTTTATGCTGCATTCTTTTAAGATGAAATCATTCCTGAGTGATTTATTGTCTTCCATATGCCAGGTACCATGGGTATTTATTCCTTACATTTTTCCTGCAAGGCAGCAGTCACAATTTGGTGAATTGCCCAGGTCATGTAGCTGGGAAATGGTAAAGAAGAGAGTTTTACTCAAGTTATTGTTCAGTCACTAAGTCGTGTCCAACTCTTTGTGACCCCATGGACCGCAGCACACCAGGCTTCCCTGCCCTTCACCATCTCCCAGAGTTTGCTCAACCTGATGTCCATTGAGTCAGTGATGCCATCCAATCATCTCATCCTCTGTTGCCCCTTTCTTCTCCTGCCTTCAATCTTTCCCAGCATAAGAATCTTTTCCAATGAGTCGACTCTTTGCATCAGGTACTTAAAGTTACTTGATCTTAATTTTCTTTCCACTGTATTGTGTTGCCTATTCCCTCATTTAGAAAAAGTGAGGAAATGCTGAATTCTCAAGTAACATCAGTTTATAAGTTCTGTGACGTGATACGTGCTGGCATTCTTCACACTTTCCTCCTGTGAAGGAGCTTCTGATTACTGCTCACAAGTTACCATGATAAAGGTTACAAAATAGCAACTGTACTAGTTTTAATAGTATATGAACTCTGTGGTATTGGCAGAAGCAATGCACACCAGAATGGCTAAATGATTCTATAGAGCTGGTCGCAGTTCTAATTGGCTGGTTTTAAAACAGTGTCCATGATTAATTTGGTATTTTCAGTATCACCCATGGAGGTCTTTTTCTTCCTCATTTTACAGAAGGAGGTGGTGACTTTGAAGAAGTCTGGCAATTCACCAATGGTCAGAATGTCTCACTGGCTTTGAAACTTCTCTTTTTACTACTCAAAAATTACTGCCTCTAAATTTAAGGAGGAGTACCTGGTGGCTCAGACGGCAAAGAATCTGCCTGCAATGCAAGACACCCGGCTTTGATCCCTGGGTTGGGAAGATCCTCTGGAGGAGGGCATGGCAACCCACCCCAGTGTTCTTGCCTGGAGAATCCTATGGACAGAGGAGCCTGGTGGGCTATAGTCAATGGGGTCGCAAAGAGTCGGACATAACACTACTAAGTTCAAGGAAAAACATTCCATAAATAGCTTCTGAAACTATTTCTTACTAAATGAATTTATGAAGTATTATCTAAAACATGCTAACCTTAAAAAGTAGCATTTCGAAGCTGGCAGACTAATAAATAGAACAGTTAAGGAAGCAGTAGGTATGTGAGCTACATTAATGAAGTCTAAATACAGTAGTTAGTAGTCATTTCACTGCCTTTATCTTTTTTGCTTCATGCTGTGGACTCAGGATTGGTTAGCACACTAAAAATATCAGAAGAGAAGGAGTTTATCAAATCAAACATATTAACTAGTGGCTGACATTCCACGTCTGTCGGAAGAACACAGAACTGACAGCACTGACAGCACTCATCATGTTAAGATGGGTCCTGAGTGTCAACGTGGAAAACCCGCCAAAAGCTAAAGGTAGATCCTTTTGGAGAGTAGAGATTCGTTCTCATAGTGACACCCAGAAGCGACTGGAAGAGCAGTGTGTGTGATGACATAGAGCAATGGTCCACCCACGGCAGCCGGGGGGACGGGACTGGGGTGCCCTCAGACAGGTCTGCATTTAGGACCCGGGCGAGGCGGGGTGAGGACCTGGGAGTCAGGCGGGAGAGGGTGAAGGTACCCAGGTCTCCGTCCATAGTGACTGGAGGCAGATGTGGGAAACAGCGGGACAGAAGCGGGCAGAGAGGAGTCGCTCCACAGCCCCCTCAGAGCCGAGGAGCAGGTGCTGAGAAGAGTCTAGGGACAATCACAGGGCCGGGGTGGGCGCTCTGACAAGCAGGCGGAGGGAGGCGTCCAGACAAAAGCAGGAGTAGCCTCGAGAAGGAAGCTGTCTCGTCAAGAGGGGCGCGAGAGCCTCTGGTCTGCACAGAGCAGGGCTGCAGGAGCCCGGACGGGAGTCAGGAAGGGTCTGTCCTTTGAAGGTTCTGAACGTCAGCCAAACCTCCCCCGGACTTAAGTACTGGGATGTAACTGAATTATGGTGATTTTAAGTCAGGGTTGAAAATTTATATCTGAGTTTTCATTTCCATAGAATTCATTTTTCACTTAGGTATTCATTACTTATTCTCTTTTCCCCACTGAAATAATATATTTATAACTCATTCTAACCCAAAGACTGTTGGGGTGAATTTCACGGTAGGGCAAAGGAAGTCCTTCAGATTTTGAATATCTACAAATACATAATCATAAACATAAAAGTAGTGAATCTTTCTGATATATTTCAGAATACTGAAAGTCTACAGGGAGCAAAGCAAAAAAATCATTCATTTATTCATTTTATTTAACAGAATAACATACAGAAAACATGAATTGATTTAAAAAATATTTTTTAGGAATTGGTATTCATATCCAAAGTTTTCCCAGGTGGCGCTAGTAGCAAAGAACCCGCCTGTCAATGCAGGAGATTTAAGGGGAGTGGATTCGATCCCTGAGTTGGAAAGCTCCCCTGAAGGAGGGAATGGCAACCCACTCCAGTATTCTTGCCTGGAGAATCCCATGGACAGGAGCCTGGCGGGCTACAGTCCATGAGATCACACAGAGGACATGACTGACTGAATGAGTACACACATACACTCATTCATATCCAAAGAGGGGATAAATAGTGATAGAATCAGAATATCTTTTATAAATTATTATTTAGAATATGAAACCACCAAGAAAATGTTTCAGTTCCCAGAATATGATTTTAGTGTGACAGAAATACAGTTCACAAAAATTAAAACTAAGAAATGAAATGTTGTGTGTAATTTATTCTCAAGTACGTGTTTCAGTGAAAATTTGTCATTAAAATTTTAAAGTGAATCTATTTCTTTGGTCATGAGAGCTACTCCAAGGTAAACAAAAACATGTGTTTTTGCACTTGCGGATCTCCTAAATTTTCTCCCCTCTGTCTCTTAATGGCATGAATGCAGTTGGAGGTGTTTTGTGTGATGAATTTGGGTTTACCTTTGCTTCAATCTGTTTAGTATCTGGATTCTGAAACAAAAATTTGATTTTGCTCTTGCCGTCATCTGAGGAACCTTTCAGCTGAGAAAACTTATACCTCCAAAGTACCACCTAATGAGAAAAGAAAAAAAAAAAAAACATAGGTGAGTCAGTGCAGCTCATCTCTGTATTCAAATGGAGAGATTGCTCTTTTAACTGGTAAAAGTAATCATACTGAGTTAGTCCTATATATCCCAGCATTAAAAAGTAAACTAAAATATGCTTATCAGAGGCTACAATTTAGTAATCAGTATATCCTTTAATTTCCCAAAGCAACATTGGTTTCCATGAAATAATCATTTAAATATATATGTGAATAAATTAATTTGAATATCTCATTTTACATAACCATGAAATAAAAGCCATGCCAGGGAATCGGCAAAAACACCTATCATCCATTTCTTTTTTCCATAGTAGCAACAAGGTGATTTTCAACTGATTACAGAACTTCCTCTTGCAGCACAAGCTAGCAACCAGACCCACATCTTTGTCAAGATGAAAGGACACCCGAGTGAGTGACTACGAGGAGGCATCTTAGCAACATCACTCATCTGCAATGGTGGGAGAGGGGAGAAAGAGGCAGGGGACACTCCCAGACCACCGAAGGCCCCCAGTTCCAGACCTGTCCCGTTCGTGAGACTGCAGGTGTCTTGAGAGGAGGGAGGGTATTGTTTTCTGAGTACCTTGTGTCTCTCAACTATCAAGGCACAGAGTCGATGCATAAAAAGAGTGTGTAATAAACACAAGGAGAAAGCAGGCCTGGCCGATGCTGCAGGAATTCAAATGAGAAGGACTGCCTGCATTGGCCAGGGTGCACCTTCCAGATTTATTTAGGGGGAGTTGTTGAGGAAGAGGCCTGGGCACAGGACACAATTTAGGTTCCTTTTGATAATGGAAAGTGGAATGCAGGAGAGTCAGAACAAGATGGACAACAAGCTCTAGGGTGGACCTGAGGTGCTCAGGGGCTCCAAATGCATCCTGAGGAAGCCAGGTGCGTATCTCAGCTGGAGTCAACAGAACAGAAACTCACCAGCATTGGGCCAGGGGTCTAAGACTGAATGAAACATCCTGATGAAATGTTTTAATTTATTTCCCCTCACATGGACTCTACATTATTATCCCTATGTAATGTTTGTATGTATCAGTATTTCCATCAAATAAATGGAAAATTTATAGAGGTTTAAACAGATGATCACTTTGACAGTTTATTTGGACTCTCTTAAAAGAAAAGGGAAAAAAAAAACAAACAGAAAAAGTCTTTCTAAAATGTAGACCTTGTGGGTTGTTTTGCAATAGCTTAAAGTCATGGAACTCTTCACTATGACCTGTCCGTCTTGTGTGGCCCTGCACGGCATGGCTCCTAGCTTCTCGGAGTTCCACAAATCCCCACATCATGACAAGGGACACTGATTACACAGAGTATTTACTGTAAACATATCCATGTAAATTTTAGAATAATCAAGATACACATGGAAAAAGAGGCTCTTGCATGTTTCCACATGCTGCTGGATGTGGTGTGCTGTTATTCATAACATACTAATCTTACTTTGAGTAAGTTTACATGCTGTCGGTATAATAAAGACTGGCAGAAAATTTTGGTTTTGCTGGTATAAATTTCTTGGATCCTTGGGGGGTTGTTTTTGTGTTGTTTATTGTTGGTTGTCACTTTTTTTTCTGGCAAAGTGATGAAATTCAGCCACATTTATGACTCATATTAGCAATTCTCTGTAGAAATCAGCCCTTTGTCAGTGATTTCTTTGTAGCATATGCACACACCTTTGCCAGCTTAATGGAGAGCAACAGCTCTGGGGAGAACATGAAATGAGTTTACTGAGATGGCTACATCTAAGTCAATATACCTGACAACGTAATAAGCCACCACTGCTTTATTCTCCTCCAGGTTTTCTGAAGGCTGCTCCACTGACAGAGACTAAGCACTTTATTAAATAAGTGCTAAATTAACACATGAGCCCTAAGACATTTGATTTTTGAGGCAGTGCTATTCTTCAATTTGACTAATTTGATTTCTAAGCTTAGCTATGAACTTTATTACTACAAGTCAATCATTTTCCTTTTTTTCCTGCTCAAGTATGATTTAAAAATCCTGCAATTCAAAGAAATCTTTATTCCTAGAAATTGATTCAAATGTAAAGGCGTTCATTAAATCAGCAACATATAACAAGTTACCTTGGGATGAGTGGTCTTTCTGTGCTGAATTGAACTGATTTAGTTACATGCTTCCAGGCTGCCTTGAACTCCCTTTGCTGAGAACCAGTGAGCCTCCATCCTGTAATTCTAACATACTACCTGTGCTGTGTGCTTAATCACTCAGTCCTGTCCGACTCTTTGCGTTCCCATAGACTGTAGTCACCAGGCTCCTCTGTCTAAGTGATTTCTCCAGGCAAGAATACTGGAGTCGGTTGCCACACCCTCCTCCAGGGGATCTTCCCAACCCAGGGATTGAACCCAGGTCTCCCGCATTGCAGGTGGATTCTTTACCATCTGAGCCACCAGGGAAGCCCACACTACCTATAAAACTAGGTAGCCCACACTACCTAAAAAAGAGATGTGGACACAGAAAACTAGTAAAAGAATAGTTTGTTTAAAAAAATTACTCTGGAAGAAGAAAATTTCCCTTCACTGTGAGACAGTGAGATTATATGTATGTGTTCTGCTTAGTTGCTCAGTTGTGTCTGACTCTTTGCGACCGTATTGTCTGTAGCCTGTCAGGCTCCTCTATTCATGGGAATTCTCCAGACAAGAATACTGGAGTGGGTTTCCATGCCCTCCTCCTCTCCCATATTGCAGGTGGATTCTTTACCATCTGAGCCTCCCAGGGAAGCCCATCTATATGTAATACATAGATGTATATGTATATATGGGACTTCCGTGATAGCTCAGACAGTAAAGAATCTGCCTGCAACGCAGGAGACTCAGGTTCAGTTCCTGTGTTGGGAAGATACTCTACAGAAGGGAATGGCTACGCACTCCAGTACATACATTTCATATCGTTGTGAGGTTTTGTGGCAAAACATTTGTTTTATTAAAATTCAAACTTTTTTCTATAAGCAGATTGAAGCATAGTTTATCTCCTATGAATAAAGTTTGACACCTGATCACGAGGCAGCCTGCTGACAGTAGTTGGAAGCAGTTTCAGTTGTTCTCAGCGCATGACGCCTGCCTCATGCTCAAGCTGACAGGGTACCCTACCTTGGTCGCAGCGTCGAAGCAGATGAAGCCGGTGCTGAAGTCAATCGTGAGCCCCATCAGGTGACCCTCCAGCACGCATGCATATGTCTTGCACTGGACAGAAGAGAGAACTGTTACTTTCATGGGACTGACCCAACATTAGGGTGAACAGCCCACATTTGTCAGACTGTGACATACCTCCTGTGACAAGTTCCTGATATGATTAATAACACAACAGCTGACTTTATTTGAGCAACAGCTGCAGAAGAAAGCTGGTCTGACTGACATGCTGATGTTAACAGAGCATGAGCTGAGTGGTTGTGGATCTGTCTGGGGGATGCGGGGTTCAGTTTCCCATCCTACCCCAGGTGACCTTGTCTTGACCTTGTGCCACTTTAATGCCCTTCACTCTCTTGGCAATAAAACTGTACACATATTTTTGGGTGTAGGTAAGATGATATTAAATTGTTATATTCTGTAGCTAAATATCACTGCATTTTTATTAAACTGAAAGTGAGTTAAAGTATTAAGTTCTTGTCATTTTATCAATATTATTAGAGAGAGCTCTAATATATTTACAAACATATTTACTAACCAGGTCAAGAACACCACGACCTTAAGTCTCTGTATGTTCATCGACTGGCACAAGTTATGTCCTAAAGACATTTACCCTTGCCTATTATTTGTGTAAACTTATTGATTCTTCTAAATCAATAATTAACGATTGTTCACACTGAGATCAGACTAAATTATAATTTTACTTATATGAATATTTTGGGAAGACTAGTAAAATATAGATACTGAGATACACAGAATAACAGATAAGAAATACAAACTTGGGGATTATATGAAATGATGCATATTTATGTTACAGGCCAGTTTTACTTGCACTTAATTGCAAACTGGGATGGGATATTCAAATCATGAAAAATACTTGTAATTAACAAACAAAGGGGAAAGAGAGAGAGAGGAAGAAAGAGAGAAACGTCTATCAATCCTTATATCCTATTTGTGTTTATAATACTGGGTATGAAAGTATCGATACATTAAGTGAGCCTCTCATTCTGATTATTTTTTTGTTGAGTTGTTGTGTCCGACTCTTTCGTGATGCCATGGACTGTAGCACACCAGGCTCCTCTGTCCAACTATAACAATGGTTAAATGTATCAAGTTGCCTCCACCAGACAGGTATATTCATGTGCTTAAGCCAAGTTTACATAGGAAAGTTATGATCATGTCAGATTATTCATTTGGAGTACAGTTTTTCAAAAAAGCAGATTAAAAAGCAAACTTAATGGGCCTTGTAAGTTGATTTTGGGGCTTCCTGGGTGTCTCAGTGGTAAAGAATCCACTTGCAATGCTGGAGATGCAGAAGACATGGGTTGGAGGTTGAATTTCTGGATGAGGAAGATCCCCTGGAGGAGGAAATGGCAACACATTCTGGTTTTCTTGCCTGGAGAATCCCATGGACAGAGGAGCCTGGTGGGCTACAGTCCATAGGGTTAGAAAGAGTCAGACATGACTCAACACATGTGCAAGCTGATTTTGGGATGTGATTTTAGTTATTACATGAGCACCTTCCATGCTTGCATCCAACCATTGTCACTTTATTAAAACTACTATCAAATTTAAGGAACATCCAAGGTTGCCTGATTTTCTCTAATTTATACATGATTGTTTTCTGTTTTCAAATGACATTATTTAAAAAATACATGCCAAGTGAAAACACCTTCAGTATAGAACATTAAAAGTTATCTAATTAAGAACAAAATTGTGAATTAAATTGCATTACTTCAATAATAATTATATTAAAACAGATAAGTTGAAACCACTCAAAGTTTTATTCTATGATTTATAGTCTCAACAAACATATATAGAGTATATACTTGTATGTTTGCATATGGAAATATTTAATTTATTGTTTAATTTCTATGTTTATTTCATAATAAAATTGAATTACAGCTAAAAAAGAGCAAAAATTATCTTTCTTAAAGTTAAATTTGCAGTTAATTATATATAAATATATATAAAACATATATTTATATATTACAAATATATAATCATATAAATTATATACTATATGAAAGTGAAAAAAGTGAAAGTGTGAGCTGCTCAGTCGTTTTGGACTCTTTGCGATCCCATGGACTGTAGGGTCCTCTGTCCATGGAATTTTCCAGGCAAGAATACAACAGTGGGTTGCCATTCCCTTCTCCAGGGACTATATATTTGTTATATATTATGTATGATCATTATATGCAATATAATTATGATATAATATATATTATATATATAATATATATTAATTTGCATTATTTTATATATTATTACATAACATTTGAAGATACATAAAAAATAAAATTATTTTTCATATGCCCTTTGGATGACAGTTAAATGTCTGTAGTGGATAAAAAACCAATGAAAGTCAAATAAATAACTTCAAGAGAAATCAATTTTTGAATGTTAAACACTTCACTGAAAGTCTTATTTTAAATGGAATATTACTCAGCCATTAAAAAGAATTCATTTGAATCAGTTCTAATGAGATGGATGAAACTGGAGCCCATTATACAGAGCGAAGTAAGCCAGAAAGATAAAGACCATTACAGTATACTAACACATATATATGGAATTTAGAAAGATGGTAACGATAACCCTATGTGCAAAACAGAAAAAGAGACTCCTATGTATAGAACAGACTTGTGGACTCTGGGAGAAGGCGAGGGTGGGATGTTTCAAGAGAACAGCATTGAAACACGTATATTATCTAGGGTGAAACAGTTCACCAGCCCAGGTTGGGTGCATGAGACAAGTGCTCGGGCCTGGTGCACTGGGAAGACCCAGAGGGATTGGGTGGAGAGGGAGGTGAGAGGGGGGACCGGGATGGGGAATACATGTAAAAAAAAAAAAAAAAAGATACACTATGGTTGTGATAAAAAAAAAAAAATAAATAAATAAATTAAAAAAAAAAACAAAAAAAATAAAATAAAAAGACTGTATTAATTCATATGGAATTAGTGTAAAGTCAACAATAAGTATCCATCCCTTACCAATATTATTCACTTACTCCGGGGAAATGTTTCAAAAATTGGACAAATAAAGGTACTAAAAATAACAGTAAATTTACTAGGCTTAATTGTGGTACTTTGAATACTAGGGAAATGTAAGTTGTAATTCATATAAATTGTCATAGTTTGATTAATATAAATATGTTAATTTTTGATGTTCATTACATTTTCTACTGTCATTCTAGGAAGTATGGTTAAATTTTAAGATGTTAATTTAAATGACAATTAAGATGTTTAGAAATATCTCCAACAGTTAATTATCTATTAAATAAATATATAAATATTTGTATTAATACTAAGTACATTAGCAATCAGAAAATATTTAAATAGATAAAGGAATAGATTCAGTTCAGTTCAGTTCATTTCAGTCGCTCAGTTGTGTCTGACTCTTTGTGACCCCATGAATCGCAGCACGCCAGACCTCCCTGTCCATCAGAAACTCCCGGAGTTTACTCAAACTCATATCCATTGAGTTGGTGATGCCATCCAGCCATTTCATCTTCTGTTGTCCCCTTCTCCTCCTGCCCCCAATCCCTCCCCCCCCAAAAAAGGAATAGATTAGAAGAAATAGAAAGAAATTAGAAAGAAATAGAAAATGCTAAGATGCAGTCCTCTTAATGAAAACTGATTTCAAAATAAAAATAATTTATTAATTCTTAATAATTCATCAACACACTGGACATGAGTTTGAACACACTCCAGGAGATGTGAAGGCCAGAGTAGCCTGGTGTGCTGCAGTCCGTGGGATCACAGAGAGTCAGACACAACCGAGCGACTGAGCAACAACAGAACCCCTGTTTCACAGTGAGACACGAGTCTCCTCTTTGCATCATTTATTTATCAGCTTTAGCTGAGGTGGAAATACCAGGAACATATGAGCAAAACACATAAACTTCTTCATGTAAATATGTTTACAGGCTTGAATTTTGAAAATTACAGATCCACAGTAATCGGCCATTGATTATTTCTGGTGGAGTACACAAGGAGACGTTATAAAATGTATAAAATGACCAAAAGCTAAAAAGACATTAAATATTTTACTTTCACTTATATATGCATCTTAAATTCCTATTGTGAATATGTAAAGTGCCAGTCTAAAAAATGCATTGCTCAGGACATCAGCTTATAGAATGGGAGGTCCAGAGTTTAAAAAAATAGTAAAATAGAAGGAAACAGCACAATTTTTATCTCTATCTCATTTCTAAACATTAGGAGACTTGAAAATCTTAAATTGAAACCAACAAGTTGAATTTGTCATGTATTTGTTTCCAAGCGAAGTGCAATATTCCAGGGAAATGATAATAATAATAAATAATAAAACTATAAAAATAAGTAACAAAAATGTCAACTCCTATACAACTTCTTACAATGCCATAAAATAATCTCTGGGTTGATACTTAAAATATTAATAAAATAATATTTAAGATATTTCTCATCTTTCCACTTTTGATATGAAAAATCTATTTACTGAATTGAGGTTCTATACAACTAGATTATTGAAACAACATGTCTTAGCTACTGTAACATTTTTAGATACATGCATATCAGCAAAATATTAGAAAATGTTAATTGAGCAATGAAAAAATGATAAATGAGTCTTCTCCTTGTCTCTTCCCCTGATAGTGAAGTCACATTGTTGTGACTTGATGGGTTGAATATAAAAGTTTGTAGTCAGAAAAAAATTAATACATGTCACAAATCAGTTCAATGTAATTGGAAAAGTATGCATCCAAGTCCACTGTTACAGGCAACTACCCCCAGATAATAATGATGTGCTGCTGCCATCAGATATTTCACATATAAGAAATAAAGTTTAATAAACACCTGCTGATTATGTGTGAGTACAAAATGCACTGACTTAAGTTGGTAGAGAAATAAAATACTCCCAGAAACCTACAACTCAGTGTGAGGAAAACAAGTACAGATTACTCCAACTCATGCAGAGTGTGGGCAGACCTAAGGAAAAAGACAAAAGAGATACTGCATTCTGGAGGGGGTGGGGGGCAAGCTTGAATAGGACCAATGAGGAGGAAGAGTGGTGGGCACACGGCAGGGCAGACTGGGAATCAGGAAAATCATCCTCCATGGTGTGACCTCTGAGAAAGCTTCAAATTCACCTGTGTGGTTTTGGAGGTTAGTGATGAAGATAAGGCGTTCCAGCAAGAAAGAGCTTCGTGAGTGAACAAAGTCATTCTGGCTGGAAATTAAGTGGTTGTGATTAGAGGCCAGGAAGTGGCTTTGAAAACAATTAATTAAAGTAAGAACATTTCTGTTTTAGATGTCATGTAGGGGTGTCAGAGTTTGGCCATAAAGAAGGCTGAGTGCCGAAGAATTGATGCTTTTGAACTATGGTGATGGAGAAGACTCTTGAGAGTCCCTTGGACTGCAAGGAGATCCAGTCCATCTTAAAGGAGATCAATCTTGAGTGTTCATTGGAAGGACTGATGCTGAACCTGAAGCTCCAATACTTTGGCCACCTAATGTGAAGAGCCAACTCATTAGAAAAGACCTTGATGCTGGGAAAGATTGAAGGCAGGAAGAGAAGGGGACGACTGAGGACGAGATGGGTGGATGGCATCACCAACTCAGCAGACATGAGTTTTGAGTAAGCTCCAGGAGATGGTGATGGACAGGGAAGCCTGGTGTGCTGCAGTCCATGGGGTTGCAAAGAATTGGACACAACTGAGTGACTGAAAAACAGCAGCAAGATTCTAATTAAAATTAGAAATGTGTTTTTGGTGAGTGGTAGGAAATAGGCTAGAAAGATCAAATTATAGAAAAATTAAAATGCTTTCAGAGTCGTGTTGCACTTCATTTAAACAATGGCCAATGACTGAACATTTGAGCCTCACAAAACTGGAGTTTCATGTTCGTTTGAATTTATATCAGAACTCTAGAGAGGGGTCATGCATCCTGGGGGTCACAGGTCCTCAGCTTTCACAGACCCTCACCTGTATCCGCTCCACCTCCAGGAAGGTTGCTGTTTGGAAGGCTCGTTCCCACTGGGCAAGGTCAGAGTCCAGCTCCACTGAGAAGTACAGGTCCTCCCCAGACTCCGACTGCACGGTGAAGCAGTGTCTCCGCCGGTCCAGCAGGTCACTGTCCTGATGGAAACTTGGAGTTATGCAGACTGGCACACACTTGAGCTACTGACCCACCCCTGGGTCAGTGTTGACCACTGTGTGGTGGAGACACTGTAGTAACAAGGATTCTACCCTCTGAAATCACTAATTATTCATTACAATGGTCACAGAGGACAATTTCCAGTCCTCAAAGTCCATAACTGACACATTTCCTTTCTGAACTGACACTGAAGAATTTCTGGCTTCAACTCTTCCTAGCAAGAGTAGTTATCAAAGCATTGACTGCATGAGATTCCATTTCTCACTGGACAGGTGGATAACACACAATGTTCCTTTTTCCTTCCAGAGCTATGAAGATGACGAGATTAAGCAATACTTATTAATGTAATTTGTAAGTTTTAAGGAGATTATAACCATGGTATCTTTTACGGAGCTGATTTCTATAATCCTTAAACTATCATGGGAATATTCTACCAGCTGAGACATGAAAAAACTGATTCTAACATGTTTCAGAAATTTTACTGCCTTTTAAAAACTACACATTTACCTTACTTATGTAACTGTAATTCATTAAGTCAAAAGGACTTTGACATGGCAATTTCTTGGTCTTAGTAGAAGTTTTCAACTAGCATGCTCATGCATCTATATGTGTAGCAATGTCAGAGATGTTAAAAGGTGAAAAGAATGCAGCTAAGAACTGATGAAAAATTGTAGAAGAGAAAGTTGAGGAAATGACTCAGAATGTTATAAATCTGCTTTTGTACATCACAAAATGAAAAAAAAAAAGTTGTGTGTCTTTTTCAGCCAAAATGACCAATGTGGGAAAATAGCATGCATTTTAAATGATATTAACTCAGTAATTACAAAACTTCAATTCTTTTGTGCTATGCAGAAATCCTTCAAGAGTAGGTGAAAGTAATATACATGAATGCAAGTATTTCCATTTTTATAGCTAGGGGAGATGCCAAGATATTGAAATTACTTTTCTAATAAAATGTCACTGAATACCTGCTGGAATAATTATTTTCAAAATATCTAGCCTTTAAATTATCATTCATATATTCACTATCTGAAGGGGTATGGGGAAGGGGATATCATGACCTTGGCTGATCCTCTGCCTTCTGACCTGCCCTCTGTCACAGCCTGGATAAGGATTCCCCCTGTTTAAATCTAGCCACTCAGCCTGGCTTGCACTCCTTCCCTAGCTTAACATCTCTTAGATTCAGCTCAACTTAGATTCAGGAAACTTGGAGGAAATTCCTTTTTAAAGAGAGGACAGTTCCAGTAAAGACAAGTAGCCCTCATGGACAATGCTGTATACCTTCAAAAGGAGAAATGCTTTAAACTTAGTGTTTTTAAAAAGTATACAGCATATAAACAAAATATGATTATCCAAAGAAGCTTTTTTATCTTTGATTTACATTTTTGATTTCTTATTTAGTATACTTGAATCAGTTTTTCATTATTACTTTGATTGATATCAGCACTTCCCTCCAACACATTGTTATGAAGCAAACAGAAGCTTTGCTACAACAAATTAGCATAACCAGCAGTAGAAAAGCAAACAAACAAGAGACACATGAAAACAATAATGCTAATTTCTTTTAATATTATTCAGGGTTGACTTTCAATACTGCCTATTGAGATTAATGGTTTTAATTAATAGCTATAAGATTCATCTTCAGATTTCAATTCTAATATTCTACTTCAGAAGATAATTACACCATACTAAAAAGAAACAGTGTCAGACTTTATTTTTTTGGGCTCCAAAATCACTGCAGATGGTGACTGCAGCCATGAAATTAAAAGACGCTTACTCCTTGGAAGGAAAGTTATGACCAACCTAGATAGCATATTAAAAAGCAGAGACATTACTTTGCCAACAAAGTCCGTCTAGTCAAGGCTATGGTTTTTCCAGTGGTCATATATGGATGTGAGAGTTGGACTATGAAGAAAGATGCATGCTGAAAAATGGATCCTTTTGAACTATGGTGTTGGAGAAGACTCTTGAGAGTCCCTTGGACTGCTAGGAGATCCAACCAGTCCATCCTAAAGGAGATAAGTCCTGGGTGTTCATTGAAAAGACTGATGCTGAAGCTGAAACTCCAATACTTTGTCCATCTCATGCGAAGAGTTGACTCATTGGAAAAGACCCTGATGCTGGGAGGGATTGGGGGCAGGAGGGGAAGGGGACGACAGAGGATGAGATGGCTGGATGGCATCACCAACTTGATGGGTATGAGTTTGAGTAAACTCCGGGAGTTTGTAATGGACAGGGAGGCCTGGTGTGCTGCGATTCATGGGGTCGCAAAGAGTTGGACACGACTGAGCAACTGAACTGAACTGACTGAAAAAAAAAATCACCAAATCCATGCTTTGAAATCCAAAGAATATATGGCTTTTAGGACAAAACTCCATCCAGCAGGGAGAAGTGTACGACTTCTTCCTATAAATGTGGGCACTGTAGGGTCATAAACAGCCAGAATAGTGGCTAGTTATTTGGCTCTGCCTTTAGGAAATAACCCAAAGTCCCCCCTTTAAATAATTCTAAAGAATAAAATTCCTACTCTCTGCTTTTAATATGTGGTATGTGAAGATTGTCAGTCTCCTAATACCCCTTTTTAGAAAATAGAATCTTTTGCAGAAGCAGTAAAAATAAAAATAGTTTATAAGATATAGCCAGATGAAAATAACCTGTTAAGTTCCTGGCTGAAAAACCCTGCCCCCCTCAACAACAGGGCTTCCTGGCTGGCTCAGCGGTAGAGAATCCACCTGCCGATGAAGGAGATGGGGGTTCAATCCCTCGATCTGGAAGAAGACCCTGGAGAAGGAAATGGCAACCCACTCCAGTATTCTTGCCTGGAGAATCCCATGGACAGAGGAGCCTGGTGGGCTACAGTCCATGGGGTCGCAAAAAGTCCAACACAATTAAGCACACATACACACTCTTTTAAAGTATGCAAAGCAGAAGCAGACAGTGCTCAGTGTGTGTGGCTGAGTTTCTTTAAGAAATACTATCAACTGCAAAAGTTGACATCATTCTAAAGAAACAACTAACAAAATGGATACAAAAGCTATCTGGAATTTTATCGAATTCTCAGTGACTTCCTATTGCAATAATCCTGTGTATAGCACAGAAGTGTAATTGATTTATGACAGCTGAATATGCAGCTCCACACTCAGAGAGACAATGTAACCCTGAGACTTAAATATAATACATATGTATATGTGTGTGTGTGCGTGTGCATGTGTGTGTGTGCACACACATGTCTTTATTTGCATATACCTTTTTACTTTCTACATTCTCTAACTCCAAGTCTTATTCATATCTCTTTCTTCTGCATTTTACACAGCAAACACAACTCTGGTAACAACTGAAGCTTAAATTCAGACTATCTCCAGTTGACCTTCTACTTCATCCTCCAAGGACCTGACAAACTTCCCCTTGTGTCCCTCTCCCACAGAGGGACCTTGGATTCTGCTTAAGACTTAGTTAAGTCGATGTGTATTTCTCTCTACTCTATCTTTTCTCTTACATGTTTTTCTTTTCCATGTCTTCACCTTGTATTTTCCTTCATATCCAGGCATTGTTTATCTTCTTAAACTGGCTATGAACCCAGGACCCCAACTAGCCAAGCAAAGCCTTTACAATAATCACTGCTTTTCGCTCCTACCTTTAGGATCTTACACATGATTTCGTAAACTGAAAAAGTTTTCTCTGCTCGGGTCCAGTCCCACGTGGTCACCTTGAAAAGATGAGAAATGAACACATCATGTGTTTTAGAAAGATGGCCCCTACTTTCTTCTATTAATATGCAGTGGTGCACCCATGAAGTTCTCACACACATGCAAGGCAGTCTGAGTTGTGAGGGTTCCTCATGCAGTGTTTCTGTTTCTGCTCCCCCCCAGTTTCATACTTTCTCTTCCTCTTTCAGCAGACATTTCATATTATAAGCAACAACTTCCCATTGCTCAGTGTCTTAACATATTTTAAGTAGTGTTTGTGTTATCTCTACATAAATACTAAGTGTTGTTTTGAGGGGAGTTAATTATTTTAATATGGGAAATGTAGCCAATATTTTGCAGTAGTTGTAAATGGAAAATACTGTGTTCATATTTCACTATGTAATAGTCTGTTCTCTGTTTACCACTTGCTACACACAGAGAATACTGCATATCGTGTCAACACTGGCTTTGCATTTAAGAAAGACATATTTACATCAAGAAGCTTTTCTAAGTTCTTAACATTGTGAAGCACTAAACAGCATGTTGAAGCTGTTTCACTTGTTTGTGCTTTAAACACGTGCTTGTCTGTCCAGTCCTAAGAAATTGTTCAGAGTAGGGCCAGTGTAAAGGGTGTAAGCATTTATGATTTTTTCTCTGTCTTCTGGGTGATTTGAACTTTATGTGCATATAGGTACTAAACATTGCAACAAGTCTAACCTGATAATTCCAAGATCCTATGTAGTTATTAGACCTGTAAGCGAGTAGTCGAGCATTTAATATTTATAGTTGATAAATATTTATTGAGATTCTACTGTTGTGTAAGCTACATGTTTCCAAAAGCAAGACCTTAGGTGCAACAGGGCCTCATCTAAGTTTAATTTGAAGGCTGATGATTAAATATGGGATATTACAGGTTATCGAAAGCACCACTGATTTATTTGACTTAGACGTGTCAAATAATAAACATATCGAGCCTGGCAAAAATGCCAAAATGAAAATGCATCCTAGGTCTCTCAAGGGTTATAAAGTCAGTGTTTAATGCTAGAACATATATCTTTAAGCAAGAAATCTTCAGAAATATTTGGACTATTTTGCATTTTTTCCTGTACCTTATTTTCAAAATATATCACTAATATGCCCTTTGCCATTGTAAAGCTGATGTCACTATGCTGTGAGAGCATGGGAACAGTAAGGGATGTTGAATAGAAATACTCACTGGAGGCGCCAGAAACTTGTAGAGGCAGGAGCCCCTCAAGGCTAGAAAGGCGGGTGAGTACACACGGTCCTGAAGCGGATCCTGCTCCCGCGTTTCACACCAGCCCATGTAGACGATCTGCAAGGAAGTGGAATACAGCTATCTGCCAAGAGTCTCATTTCTGTGGGTGTATAAAACACCACAGATGCTTTCATTCTCTTATGACACTATCAGATTAACTGCTGCAAAAAGTACATTAACCACATTTACTTCAATAAATGAGTGTGAACCAGTCATCAGATTTTATAATATGTCTCCATCAATGTCTACAAACAATAACCTGCAAGGAACCAATGATTAGGTTAATAACTGATTTCTCAAGAGAAAGAATGAAAGCCAGAATACCGTGGAACATAAACATCAGGCTATAAAATGAGGACAACAATCGGCCCAGAATTCCATACATGGCAAAATTATCTTTTATTCATGATTTAATAAGGCTAACCCAAATTTGGGATGACTTTATGTATCTATTTTTACATTGATGGATTAAGTCTGAAAATTACAGCACCTGTGCACTGCTTTCTTTCGACTGATAAATATATTCAGAGAAGAGAAACATCTTAAGCCATAGTATATCACTAGTCTAAATTTGTCTAACTCTATGGGGACAAAAAAATACCTTTCTATTTACAAGTAAGTAGTCCTTAATCTGAGAAATATTGCAGGGAGATGAATGTAGTTAAACTTTGCTTTTCCATAGCTTAGAATCACATATAAAATTATTTGGAAGTAGACTGTACATATCTATTGTGCTGTCTGTTGCCTTAGCAGCCATTAGGTTGAGATTCTTTTGCTTTAGAAAGTGTGTATGTTTTATTTAATAGTGACAATATATTACATTTAGCTTTGAGTATTTGCGGGTTCTGCACTGGTGGATCCAACCAACTGTGGACTATAAACATAGGGCAACATTTCACAGTTGTGTGAATTCACAAATATGGAACCCACAGATGTGGAGAGCAGACTGTGGGACTTGAGAATCCGCAGACTTTGGTTCTGGAGACAGTCTTCTGCAGGAACCAATGAATGGCAATAAGATCTGGATAATAAAAATAGTCATTAGACAGGAAGGGGTAATAATGTTAAACAGACTTGCACTGGACCCTGTTTGCAATATAAAGACAACTTTGTGGGTATTAGAGACTATTAACACTAGACCCAGTAGACATGATCTACTCTACTTTGCTATCATTTTGTAGAGAAAGGGTTGATTTTTATTCCTTCAAGAACAGATTTAATCCTCAAACAAACAAATGTAATGCTGAACAGGTTATTTAAAACATATGCTAAGCTCTTTTATGACAAATATGTGAAACATACTAGATAATGAAATAGAAAAGCACAGAAATGGTATTTTAAAATTTTGGGGAAATTTTACCTGCTTTAAAATGTGATTTAAAGGCTTGCTTTATTTTCATTTGTTAATTTAATCATTACTTTATAAATTTGCACACTGATCCTTAATTTTGTTCCCCTTTGCTATTTTTAACTTTTATTTGAAGGGGTTCGTTCTCCAGTCTTTGAATGAAATTAAGAAAACTATCTCATTCATAATAGCAACAGAAAATATAAAATAATTAGGAATTAACTTAACCAAGGAGGTAGAAGATTTGTACACTGAAAACTGCACAAATTTTAATGAAGGGAATTATAGATACAGATAAACAGTAAGACATCTGTGTCCATGGATCGGAAGAATTAATATTTTCAGAGATCTGTAACATCCAAAGTGGCCACCAGTGCAGTGAATCCCAACCAAAATCCCTGTGGTTTCTTTAGGAAATCATCTTAAAGTCCACAGGAAATCATCCTAAAGTCCACAGAAGACCCTGAATAGCCATATCAATGTAGAATAAGAAGAACAAAGCTAGAGGCACTGCATGTTCTTATTTCAAATGTATTGCAAAATAACAGTCATCAAAGGAATAAGATACCAGCAGAAAAACAGATGTAGACCAACTGGACAGGATAGAACATCCAGAAATAAACCCATGCATACATGGTCTCTGAATGTTTGAGAGAAATGGGGAATGGCTAATCTCTTCAATAAATGGTATTAGGAGAACTTAATATCAACCTGCAAAAGAATGAAATGGGACCTTTATCTCACACTGTATACAACAATCAATTCAAAATCAATTAGACTTAAATGTAAGACCTGAAACCATTGCAGTTTTAAAACTTATACATTTCTGTGTAAAATCTCCCAGAGTGGCTGCAACTAAGGAGACAGGAAATGTCACATGTTGGTGAGGGGAGGGTGAATAGAAATGTAGAAGCCCGTATACCGCTGGCGAAGCTTTGACCCTTCACATCTAATATAAACGCACCTTGGTGTGGACACCTGTTCCCCGTCGCACACACACAAGCGAGTTCCTTATGGCATTATTCTCAGTCTCAACCATGTACACGTGCTTAAAATATTGATAAACTGTGTGCCCTCCAATATATGTTGTAGACATAGACATACAGTAGACATATCACTGTAGCTAACTGTGATACCATAAAGGAAGAGGATACAGCAAGGAAAATCCATGCATTGTAGCCACACAGAACAATGTAAGTGAATGTCATGGAACACAATGTGAACTGAAAGAAAGCAGATGCATAACTGTATTTACACACATTATATACATAAATCGCCTTGATTCAGATAAACTACACAAGTAGCTTGCAATGCATTCATGGTTGGGGTACAAAGACCTATAGCAAAGCTAGACAATCAGCACCCAGTTGTCAGGAGAGTAGTTACTTTAGACAGACGCAAACCCAGTTTGAGTGGGGAGGACACACTGGGGAGACAGAATCTGAGTTGAACACAACCCACTCTTCTTGACCTAGACTGTGATTACACAGGGCTTTAGCTTTTAAATAATGAAGCTGTATATCTATGTTTTATGAACTTTCTATTATGAAACCTTTTAAAAATAGCACACAATATGTACTATTAATAAAAGTTTTATAACAAATCCATCTTAAAAATAATAGATTTTGTGAGTTTTACAGGCAGAAAATCTTCCAACAAATATGGTTAAATTGCCCTATTATTCTGGGGCTGCTACAATGAGGTAAAACTTTATTTATTATGAATTATATCACCCTAATCATTATATAGGATACACAGAAGAACTGTACAAAAAAGATCTTCACGACCCAGATAATCACAATGGTGTGATCACTGACCTAGAGCCAGACATCCTGGAATGTAAAGTCAAGTGGGCCTTAGGAAGCATCACTACGAACAAAGCTAGTGGATGTGATGGAATTACAGTTGAGCTATTTCAAATCCTCAAAGATGATGCTGTGAAAGTGCTGCACTCAATATACCAGCAAATTTGGAGAACTCAGCAGTGGCCACATGACTGGAAAAGGTCAGTTTTCATTCCAACCCCTAAGAAAGGCAATCCCAAAGAATGCTCAAACTACCACACAATTGCACTCATCTCTCACGCTAGTAATGTAATGCTCAAAATTCTCCAAGCCACGCTTCAGCAATACGTGAACCGAGAACTTCCAGATGTTCAAGCTGGTTTTAGAAAAGGCAGAGGAACCAGAGGTCAAATTGCCAATATCCGCTGGATCATCAAAAAAGCAAGAGAGTTCCAGAAAAACATCTATTTCTGCTTTATTGACTACACCAAAGTCTTCAACTGTGTGGATCACAATAAACTGTGGAAAATTCTGAAGGAGATGGGAATACCAGACCACCTGACCTGCCTCTTGAGAAACCTGTATGCAGGTCAGGAAGCAACAGTTAGAACTGGACATGGAACAACAGACTGGTTCCAAATAGGAAAAGGAGTATGTCAAGGTTGTATATTGTCATCCTGCTTATTTAACTTACATGCAGAGTACATAATGAGAAACTCTGGGCTGGGTGAAGCACAAGCTGGAATCAAGATTGCAGGGAGAAATACCAATAACCTTAGATATGCAGATGACACCACCCTTATGGCAGAGTGAAGAGGAACTAAAAAGCCTCTTGATGAAAGTGAGAGAGGAGAGTGAAAAAGCTGGCTTAAAGCTTAACATTCAGAAAACTAAGATCATGGCATCTCATCCCATCACCTCATGGGAAATAGATGGGGAGATAGTGGAAACAGTGTCAGACTTTATTTTTTTGGGCTCCAAAATCACTGCAGATGGTGACTGCAGCCATGAAATTAAAAGACGCTTACTCCTTGGAAGGAAAGTTATGACCAACCTAGACAGCATATTAAAAAGCAGAGACATTACTTTGCCAACAAAGGTCCATCTAGTCAAGGCTATGGTTTTTCCAGTGGTCATGTATGGATGTGAGAGTTGGACTGTAAGAAAGCTGAGTGCCAAAAAATTGATGCTTTTGAACTGTGGTGTTGGAGAAGACTCTTGAGAGTCCCTTGGACTGCAAGGAGATCCAACCAATTGATCCTAAAGGAGATCAGTCCTGGGTGTTCACTGGAAGGACTGATGCTGAAGCTGAAACTCCAGTACTTTGGCCACCTCATGCGAAGAGTTGACTGATTGGAAAAGACCCTGATGCTGGGAGGGATTGGGGGCAGGAGGGGAAGGGGACGACAGAGGATGAGATGGCTGGATGGCATCACCGACTTGATGGGCATGAGTTTGAGTAAACTCCGGGAGTTGGTGATGGACAGGGAGGCCTGGCGTGCTGCAATTCATGGGGTTGCAAAGAGTCGGACACGACTGAGTGACTGAACTGAACTGAACTGAATCATTATATTATTGCTCAATTAAGTCAGAGTATTTAATTCAATTTGATAAAACTTACAGTTTCCCTATGTTTATGACTTCTCTACACTGACAAGAGAAAAGAAGAGAATAAAGTGGTATACACAATCAAGAGATGGAAATAACTGAGCTTCCTAAGACCATGTGATTTGGAGTTGACTGTCTCTTTCCATCTCTATAATTTACTAGAAGCTGAAATATTAAGAATGATGTACTGATATTTTTCAAGAATTATCATTAAATACAATTTCTTAAAATTTAAACTAATTGTAGCTATGAGGAATGAGCTGAAGACGTAACTAATAAAAATGGGATTATCGGATCTGGAAGGGCTATTTCTTCAT